GAGCTATAACTAAGTCTTAAAGTGAAAGGAACTTCCCATTTGGCAAATAGCCATACAATCTTTCTCTTTCATTTGCATAAACTATGGAAAGAACCAGTGACACACATAATTATGTACAATATTTGTAAGAGGCAAAAAAATGCCCACAGAATTTATTTGCAAATATGTGCACACATTCTTTGTGTGCATATAGTTTAGAACTAAAATCCTAATGATAAGATGCATCACCAGAAATATGAGAACAACACTGAGTAACTCCGCCTGAACAGTGTGGTGATCCCAGCCACTGCGTCAGAAAGTGGTTTCTTGACCTCCCTTGTGTGCTCTGGATATGATCCTAGCCTTTGTAGGCTGGGTGGTAAAGAACCGAAGATGAGCTGTTGCTGGGTAAAGGAGCCTTATGTCTTATATGGTAGCTCACTGCTTTTTGATTGAGTTGAACACAATCAAAGTATGGTAACTGATCTCCCTTTCTTCCTGGATGAGGGGCCAGATGATAACGCATAGATGTCAACATCCTTGAACTTCTCCAACTACTGTTGGGCCACTGCTTTTGCTTGAACTGATGCTTTGTTTTGGTTGTGGCCCAAAGCTATGAAGCGCTAATTGGCATCTATTTTCCCATGGAGCGCTCACCATTCAAATGTAACAGATTTGGTAAAATAATAGTCAGGTCAAGGGTCCTGCTTGCCTCCACTTGGTCATCTTTGCATGAATCCAATGGTTTGGTTTTGGGAATTTAAAAAATGTTTTTTAGTTGGTGTTCGTGGGAAAGCAGTGAGAACTTAAAGCTGTGCCCCCGATGGAAGGAGCTTCTGTCTAATAAGGAGCATCTCTGTACCTGAGCTGTGCCACCCCACCCTTTGGGCCCTCTGCTGGAAAAGTAGAATCCAGTCTCAAATAATGCATTTCAATTATACCCGCTAGTATTATAGATATAGGATTGCACTGTATTATGCCTCTGTGAATGTAAAACATCTTGTACCTTCTTATGATTCATAATAGTGACTGCTATATCAGAGTTGTTTCTTAATGATGTTATTCTAGAATGTTTTCTTTCCAGATGAAAATTGAGAAGCTAATACTCCCCACCCCCCGCAAAAAATCCCAAACCTAGTACCAGGTACCACAACAGTTACAGAATTTTACTGTTTTCTGAGTTTGTTTGTTTTTAATAGTGTGCTGGATGTCTCTATAATTTTGCTCAAATGATTGCAGAACTGGAAAAGGTGATGCTGCTATTGCTGCATAATACTGCAATTAGTCTTGGGTTTGATAACAGAAACTAATACAATAGTCTCTAAATATTGAAAAAAAAAGTCCACACTCTTTCTGAAACAATGAGATATTAAGAGATTATTCAGTTAATTTTCAGTTTTAACTGTGAAGGCTATGCACACATACATACATTAACTCAGAAATCAAGAAAAGCCATCCAAATGATAAGTATCTGCTAAGGATTTTCAGAAAGGAAATTGGTGCAAGTTAGTGCAAATCCAAGGTTCCTTTTGAGCAAACAATCAACAGACCCTGGTGCCAAATTGGATTGAACAAGAAGGAAGTGGCAGAGATCTGGCGCCATTTTCGGGAGGGGGGGGTGGGCGCAGAAGATGGAGAGCATCATTACAGATTCACAGCGAAAGATGGAGACATCACTGGGTGCAATTTGTGGGAAGCCAAGTCCATTCTGTTGTTTTCATTTCCTCTCACAAGTACAGTGAATTACACTTTGGGAACTGGGGCTGTTTTCTAGAGGAGTGTCAAAGTCAAAAGCAACAACGGACTCAGACTATTGTGAGTTGGGATGTCTATTGTGGGCACACACTTTGTCCATGCTGAGTGGCCTTGCTGACAGCCACAAAACAGTCAAGCTGCCATTCAGACAGCGCCTCCAGTGGGATTTCCTGAGCTGGAGGAAGTGTTGCCCATGGAGTCCTTCAGAGAAGACCGGCCGTTACCGAACCAGAGCCCTCGTATTCCAACTCAGCCTGTTTGGTGGCTGTCAGCGAGAAAAGGAAAGACCGTGTTTGTTAGAAACTTGCCGGATGGATTTTTAAAATAGTTATCTCCAAATGAATTATTATTTAAAGGGGCTGTATAAATCTTTTCTGTTCTATTTCAGTTTGAACGGTTAACTCTTGCACTTCAGAGAACACTGGCAAAACATAAGATGAGAGAAATCAGGTAAGTTGAAGGATTTCAGTTGTATAAATAAAGATCATTCTCATATTGCAATCACAAATGTTGCTACAAATTACCGAATACTTAATGACTATTGAAGCGACAACCAAGATCTAATCAAGCAGCAAAGTTCATGAATATTCTGAAACCATGCCAGTGAAAGACCAGCTCCCTGGAGCCAATCCAATGGGTAGGCACTCCATGTGTGCCAGAGAAGACCTGTGTCCCATGGGACTTTGAATCCCCAAGTTCTTAGGAGAATAAGGTCAGGCCTTTCTCCCAAGGCACTCCTGGGCGGGCTCAAGCATCCTACCTTTTGGGTAACAACAATCAACTTTAACTGTTTTTTGCTTGTTTATTTTTACCACCCAAAGACTCCCTCTTCTTTCATGCCAAGGGGTGATTTCTAAGGTAGTTAAACACCAGTTAAGGCCTAGATCCTAGTTAGAATGGTAGATCTCAAACAATTAGAATAGATCCCTTGCCCAAAGAGGCTACCAAAGGCTAGAATTATATCCCAGCAGCCTCCTCCCCTTGCCCCCTTCCCCACCTCAACTATATATTTAACCTTTAGGGGCAACACTAAGAGTTGGTTGAAGGATCTAGGGGGTAGAAAGAGGGGGACTTGGGAAGCAAGAGATAAAGTGGAATTGCTTCCGTTTCTTCAACAACCAGTTTGGTTGTACTGAAATGCACTTATTTCCTGTTCTGTCTTTGAAATGTTCTTGTAGAAAGAACCTTAATTTTTTTCATCTTATTTTTCTTAATTTTCCAAATATACCTTGGTACATTACTGCTAGTAGTTTAAATGCTTGAGCCTCTTTTTGATTCCCTAGAATTGCCTGTATTGTTTCATGTGTCAATCGTAGTAGAAGTTGCAGAATTGAACATTGAAGTGTTGCAAGTCAGTTCCATTGTTGAAAATGTTTTATGCATTCATTCGACTAGCTATTATTCATGACTGGATAATTGGTGGATATTCTGGGCTGAATTTTCCTTGCTGACTAACTGTCCCAGACTGCAGTCAGCAGAACCACGCCAAGAAGAGGTCAGGGGTGGGTCCAGGAGGAGAGGGTGTGAATCTGTGTCGGACATAATCAGTGTTTACATGAGCGATACGAGAAATATTCCAGAGAGCCTCTGACCTAAGTGCTCCGTCAGGCTGATAAGATACCCAGCAGTTATTCCAGCCTCGCTACCGTGCCTGTCGGCATAAGTCCTTGGCCCTTAGTTTACTCAAAACTTATTCTTAGCTGTGTGTTTTGAAATGTTTCTCCAGCTGCATGCCAACATTCAATTAGTATGTTTTCTTCACAGTGCGATATTTATAAATTTCAAAAACTTAGAAAAACAATAATCCTTTTACTTGGAAATCTTGAGAACTCGTTGGGCACTTTTCTCATTTCTTAAAGAGAAAACACAGACCCTGTTTTAATGATACTTGTTCTGTTGTTGGACTAAGATGATAGACGGTTTTGCCTGCTGATATCCTGAGCCGCTCTTCTCTGCTTTGTATGTCAGTATGTCTTGAATATATTCTTTGTGTCTGCCTTCCATCCCCAACTATTCTTACCAAGTCAGCTGACATTTCTACTAGGTAAGTTTGCCAAGTACTGAGCATGCACGAGTCCTGAAACCTAGAAAATCAATATAATAAACAATTGTCCCTAAAGCCACACCTCCATCTTTATTTATTTATTTATTTGTTTGTTTGTTTATATATTTATTTATTTTTAAAGAAAGGAATGTAGTATGTAGAGTCTTTCTCTAGGTTAGTTGCCCAGAGCACGTCTGCTTAGGGTCTTTTCCTGTGACCATGCTGGTGCACAAGCATGTGTTTATGCCTCCGTGAAGGGAAAGGTAGGGACTTAACTGGGAAAAGTATTATGTGCTGTTAGACTACCAAAGCTTTGCTTACATTTCCTATCATGAGGCCTGAGGGCTAGGAGGTTTTTTTCCACGTATTTACTCATAAGGTGTTTTTTTTTTAAGTTACTAAAATGAGAAAAGAAGCAACTCTAAAGATAGATCAGTATAGCACAGTATGCGTACATAACAATTACTGAGGGGCTCTAGTTCAAAGCAACGACAATGCTTTGTGAGCCGGAGCCAACTTAGATTTGAAAATTCTACCTAGTACTTTAAATAATTATAAGTAACATCCCTTAGGGGGGAAAGCAGATTAATTGACTTTCTTTCTCAAAACAACATTTCCTTCTAAAAAGTGCTTATTGGCATTCGCTTTTATTGAAATCTGTTTAAAAGTTCAGCTGTATGCCTGTAAATACTGATAGCACCTTGGGGATCCTTTAATGTGCCTCAGGAGTTTTCCAGTTATCACTATGAGAAATAATTAAGAAGTCATGAATTCATACGTTGTTAGGTTGAGATTACCTAGAAATGCTGGTGTCAAGGTAAAGCACACGGATGCTCTCAGAAGATCGGCAGTTCGAAGCTATTAGCCTCTCCAGGAGCAAAAGATGTGGCAGTCTAGTTCTGCAAAGATTTACAGAATTGGAAACCCTATGGGATAGTTCTACCTTGCTCTGTAGGTTCACTGTGAATTAGAAATTCAAAGACAGGGGGTTTGATTTGAATTTTTATATCGTTCAAATGTGTGCCATTAGATCATCCACCTGGTGAGTCAAATGGTTAAGCACTTAGTTGCTAGCCTCCCCAAAATGAGTGGTTTGAATTGACCCAGGGACCAAAGATTGACTGAGCAACCTGCTCTTGTAAAGATGGTAGTAGAGTAAACCCCGTGGAAAAACTCTGTGCCTAAATCCGCGCTTTGAGCTCACCACAACTCCAGATTACAGGAGAAGTTCCTGGGTGGTACCAAAGTTAAGGTATTCAGCTGCCAACCCAAAGGTTGGATTCAGGGGTCTATCCAGAGGGGTTCCCGAAGAAAAGTCTGGTGATCCACTGCTGAAAATTCTGTGGAACACAGTTCTACTTGCACACATTTGGGATCACCATAGGTAGGGATCAGTTAGACGGCAATATAATTTTTCTGGCAATAGAAACGAGTCCAGTAATTGAACGAAGCATTACAACTTCCATCACTAAGTTAGTGTACCATATAAAGGATACAAGTTTAACAGTATGATAGTTGAGTAGTCAAAGAAAGATGTTCTTTAGGAGAAAACAGTGGTGACAATAGTAAGATCGATCTGTATGTCTGTTTTTCTTCTGGGTTGGGTTATCAGAAAAACTCTCGGATAGTTCATCACTTTCACCATCTTGGCTAATTCGCAACCCTGGTGTCCTGCCAGCGCAAGCTGCTGTCCTATCAGCTTGTATGTAAAGATAGTGAAAGGTTAAATATGCTTCATAAAAATGAGGGGGTGGGTGGGGAGATGGATGGGACCTCTGCATCTTCAATATGGTAGAGTTGTCAGCATTGCGTCTGCATTGTACGCGTCACTGCTTCTGGCCAGCAACCTTGGAGAGTCAATATCTGACGTGACCAAAAAGGTCAATGAAATTACTTTTCATTAGCATTTCTGGGTGTTTGAATCTGAAACGTGAGCACTCATTTGTCAGTCTGTAACTTAAGATATTGAAATCTTTCCAGGACCTTTTCGGAAAGAGAAGACTTTGAAAATATCATTGCAGATCAAGCAATTGCAACAGGTAATGGAATTGGGAAGTATATTCTCTGTGTGCAGAACTAATGCTTTCTCCTAGAACACTCATGCTTATTTATTAGATACTCCCCCTGAGAAGTGTTCAAGATGATATATTGTGTTACCATAAGTGATGACTGTTTTTCACGCTATGTATGTTTGAGTATTGGGTGAGAAGTAGCTGAGGCTGGATGGAAAGCTGACTCCCAGGCACGGGCAGGGTTTGGTCTGGAACTTAACTACAAGTTACCGCCACTTATGTATGAGAAATTCCGCTCAGCAGAGTAGGAGTCAAGAATTCTTTTTAAAATTGCAACCAATCTGAGAAAACAGTCAAACTCTCCAACACATTTATAGCTCTCATATTAGTGATGAATTTGGTGAGGAGCAGCTTTGTGGCTTTGTCACATTGTCCTTTTGAAAGTTTGACCCAGAGATTAAAAATCACGGACCCAGAGATTAAAGCTTTCTAAAAGTACAAACTGTTAACTTACTAATAACTAACATTTTGAGCGCGTCCTGGGATATAATCTCACGCATCATAACAGTGCTGCCATGGGTGCCTTTTGCCTCGCCTGTGTTACAGATGAGGAAACTGTGGTACATCAAAGCTAGGGAACCAGGGAGGCGAAGGAAGGAGACTCTATAGAGTATAAACAGTACAACTTGCAAACGGTGGAACCTACATCAGGTGGGAATCTTTTGGACAAAGGAAACTCAAATACTCAAGTAATTGTGTATTTTCCACAAAACAAATGATACCAGAGTGCTAAGACTGCACCCTCTCAATTGCAGAAAACTTTCAAAATGTGAAACAAAGCAGTCACGTCAAGTTCTGCTGCTCACAGTGTTCACTGTAGTACATTCCAAGTACTAGTAGACATTAGAATGCAGTGCATTTCTAGTCAGAAAGTAGTATTAGACATTAGAATGCAGTGCATTTCTAGTCAGAAAGTAGTATTAGACAAGGACGCTGTTTTACACACAAGCCCGCGCTATCTAAATGCCAACAAACCCCTGGCCCCAAACGTCACTTTATAACCTTATCTAGAGGAAAGTGGCAAAACTGACTCTCCGGATGTGATTTTAAATGAACTTAGGTGGTTGATTCTTACCCTGACTGGATGCCCAAGGGGGAGCGTCGCCTGTAAGAATGTACTTGTTGCATTAGTCCCAGAAAGCTAGGAGAACTTTAGTTCTGAACCAGACTTGGTCCTAGCATTGGAAAGGTAAGTATAAAGGAGATGAAAATGTTATAGATTACATTAATTTACCTGTAAAAAAAACTGCCTGATTTGGGGTTTTTAGTTCAACATGAGTTTTTTATGTTAATCTATATAGAATACCTGAATAGAGATATTCAAATGTATAGACAGTTTTATAGGCACAGAATCTACATATCATACAATTCCATATCACATCAATTCCAATCATAGCAATCATATCAAGAAGAGTTGTGCAATCCTCACCACAATCAAATTTAGGACATTTTCTTCTTTCTTGTACTCCCTGTGATTACCTCCCAATTTCTCCCCAAGCTCCCTGAAGAAACCTAGATTTCATACGCAGAAAAACATACAATTTGGGTTGAAATTCTGGATTTCAGATATAAACTCGCTGCTGTGGAGTCAAGTCTAAAGAATAAGCCTATAGGATAGAGTGGAACTGCCCCCCTTGGTTTCCACGGCTACCGCATCTTTCTCTTGCAGAGTGGCTGTTGGGTCTGAGCATCTGAGTTTTCAGTTTGCAGCCAGGTGCTTATGCACTGCACCGTTAGGATCCTTTTTTTTTTAAAAACCAGATGGAAAGGACACCAAATCAACAAAGAAAACCATGTGAAAATGAGTAAATATGAGCACAACTCAACTGAAATTAGAGGGCATATTTGACATATGACCATGCGTTATGTCCTTTCAGGCATCCCAATGGAGGTCATCAGAGAATCTCTGGGTGAAGAGCTCTTCAAAATACGGTATGAGGAAGATGAGCATATCCTCAGGGTGGTCGGAGGAACCCTCAAAGATTTTTTAAACAGTTTTAGTACCCTTTTGAAGCAGAGCAGCCACTGTCAAGAAGCAGAAAAGAGAGGTGGCTGTGATGACGTCTCCATTCTTTGCCTGGATAAAGATCACAATTTCTTAAATGTGTACTATTTCTTCCCTAAGAAAACCACGTCCATGATTCTTCCTGGCATTATTAAGGCAGCTGCACATACATTGTATGAAACGGAAGTGGACGTGTCCTTAATCCCTTCCTGCTTACATAACGATTGCAGTGAGTTTGTTACCCAGCCCTATTTGTCATACTCTGTCCGCGTCAAAAGCAACAAGCCATCCTTGTCCCCAGGCAAACCCCAGTCCTCTCTGGTGATTCCCACATCCCTCTTCTGTAAGACATTTCCGTTCCATTTCATGTGTGACAAAGACATGACGATTCTACAATTTGGCAATGGCATTAGGAGACTGATGAGCAGGAGAGATCACCAAGGAAAGCCTAATTTTGAAGAATACTTTGAAATTCTTACTCCAAAAATCAACCAAACATTTAGCGGAATCATGACTATGCTGAACATGCAGTTTGTTGTACGAGTGAGGAGATGGGACAATTCCGTGAAGAAATCTTCAAGGGTAAGGAAAAGATCTATTAGCATTTTAGAATTTCAATTTTCATATTTAAGGACTGGAACCAATTACCAAAAATATCTTGCATGACTTCAAATGCTCTAAATAAAGCATTTACATTTAACAATTGTATAATAATGTTAAGACTATCATACATTTCTAAAAATAATTTCTCCATTCATTTTCTTTTCACTTAATACCTTGGTTTACCAAATATTTATTGAATATAGGCCAATTTAAAAAAATATGTAGAGAGTATTTTATAATTAATTTTGTTAAATAAACATGTAAAAGATTTTTAATTATCAAATCCATGATTTAATTTGGAAGGTTAAGAATGTTATTTTATAATAAACAAAAAGATTTCACTTGTTTCTTACATAAAACCATGAAATCAACATTTTGGTCATTATTTATTAGAAATGGGAAAATAAAATTTTAAAAAATTAATTGCTACATAATGTCAGGGGAAAAAATGATCTGATACATCACACAGCTTTGTAGCTGTCAGTCTCAGAAAATAAAGTTTACTGAATTATAATTGCTAGTGCAAATAAAGCTAATTGAACATCTTATAATGCACATATCTTTTAAACACACACAGTCCCAAGAGAAGCACTCTTTTCCCCATTATGAAAACAGCTTTAATTTGGTTTTGTCCTCATTAAAATATCTTACTTTTTTTTCAAAGCCAAGATTAAAAGATAATAATGGCAAAATATAAAACAGTGTCTATATTTGAAAGGACATTGGGCTTGGTAAAGTGGAAGAAGCGATCACACAGCAAAAATGAGGCAAGCCCTTGGCAGGAGAGATTGACACAGTGGCTGCAGCAATGGGTTCCAACATGAGGATGGTGTAGGCCCGAGTGGTGTGTTGTTGTGTTGACATGGGGTCACTGTGAGTCAGACTGAACCCTCATCCCAACAACAGCATTTACATCTTTGTTTAAAACAAACGAAAATACTATTTTAAAACTTTATTGTGTTTTACAAGCCAATTATTTTGGACAGCCTTCTATGCCATCAAACGTAAATCCAGTTCACTTTTTCAAAGAGTTCCATGGTATTCCATTGTGTCGTACCTTTGGAACCAATCCCCCATGAAAGGATCTTGGCTTTGCTTTGACTTTCAGTTGCAGTGAACACATGTGTGCATACATGATGTGTGCACACTCAGACAAGGAAACAATCTGGGATTGAGACTATTACACCTCTCTGAAGGACCCCTTGATAGAATCCTTTCTGCTGGCTGTCTTGTTTCTGTTTGTTTGTATTACTGGAGCTGAGTTGATTAGGTGCATAAGACTAAGCTAAAATAGGGAAATTACCTCTCAGACTACCTGAGCTCCAGTTACCTCAGAGTTTAGTGTCTGGCAAAATAATGACTTTCAAAATGATAGCTCAGGGGGTGGGGGTGGGGCTTCTGACAGAAACATTCTAGAAGAAAAATCTAATATTCGAAGGCTTTTAAGCCTCCTTATTTGCCAGTTGGAACAAATAACTCAGGGGAAATACAGAGGGGAAGTTGGAGGAAACATGCTAAGATAAGAGAATATCTTTCCACCAAAGAAGAAGCACACTTCCACAAAACCACAAAAACACAATAACAAAGCTTCAGCATGCTGCTCAGTGAAAAAGCTTTGACGTCTTTTTTGTATTATTCATTGCACATCATGATTTTGATGTCGGTCGTATTCCATTCATTTTAGACCTCAACAAATTGAAACTTTACCAAAGCATAGCGTTCTTCTTCAGAAGGTTGGTGAGATGGAGCTGAAATCCAAATGCATTAGCCCTCTATAATATATACCTCCTCCACGTTTGTCTCAGAGAGGGGTTGGATAAACCTGAGTAAACCATAGCAGTAGCTTCTCTTTTGCTTTATAGGTTATGGATCTCAAGGGCCAAATGATCTACATTGTGGAATCCAGTGCTCTCCTGTTCTTGGGCTCACCCTGTGTGGACAGACTAGAAGATTTCACAGGGCGAGGGCTCTACCTGTCAGACATCCCAATTCATAACGCCCTGAGGGATGTGGTCTTGATAGGTGAGCAAGCCCGAGCTCAAGACGGCCTGAAGAAACGGCTGGGGAAGCTCAAGGCCACCCTGGAGCAAGCCCACCATGCCCTGGAGGAGGAGAAGAAGAAGACAGTAGATCTTCTATGCTCTATATTTCCCAGTGAAGTGGCGCGGCAGTTATGGCAAGGGCAAGCTGTTCACGCCAAGAAGTTCAATGATGTCACCATGCTTTTCTCAGACATTGTTGGCTTCACTGCCATCTGCTCCCAGTGCTCCCCCCTGCAGGTCATCACAATGCTGAATGCACTCTACACCCGCTTTGACCAGCAGTGCGGAGAGCTGGATGTCTACAAGGTAGGAAAGGACGGCAACGGACCACTTTCCTGAGGGCCTCTGTTGTAGTGCAAATGGAAAGTGTTCTCTACCGGGTTGTTCATGGGTCCAGGCATTGTGCAGTAGTGCCGTGTTCTCAGGCCAGAAATAGTGCAGGCCCCAAATAGCTCTACATCTGCTCAGAAACAGAGATAACTGTTGCATGAAAGGCTCATCTCCATGAGCCTTTATAGACCGAGAGGAGGGTGGGGTGTAGGACATAGGAAAAGATAAAGCTCAAAAGTCAAATGGAGTGGAGATTTCATTGTGGGACCTAAATTGAAGTAATCTCAAAGAATAAACAAACCCGCTGTCATTGAGTTGATTCCAACTAATAGCAAGCCTACGAGACAGAGTAAAATGCACCCTGTCCAAAGAAATGATAAATCTTTAGAGAAA